AACATCATAGTATAGTATGGCATAAAAAAGTCATAAAAAATTCATACTATAATAAGGCATTAATGGTCATAATATAGTAAGGCATAAAAAGTCATAAAAACATCATAGTATAGTATGGCATAAAAAAGTCATAAAAAATTCATACTATAATAAGGCATTAATGGTCATAATATAGTAAGGCATAAAAAGTCATAAAAACATCATAGTATAGTATGGCATAAAAAAGTCATAAAAAATTCATACTATAATAAGGCATTAATGGTCATAATATAGTAAGGCATAAAAAGTCATAAAAACATCATAGTATAGTATGGCATAAAAAAGTCATAAAAAATTCATACTATAATAAGGCATTAATGGTCATAATATAGTAAGGCATAAAAAGTCATAAAAACATCATAGTATAGTATGGCATAAAAAAGTCATAAAAAATTCATACTATAATAAGGCATTAATGGTCATAATATAGTAAGGCATAAAAAGTCATAAAAACATCATAGTATAGTATGGCATAAAAAAGTCATAAAAAATTCATACTATAATAAGGCATTAATGGTCATAATATAGTAAGGCATAAAAAGTCATAAAAACATCATAGTATAGTATGGCATAAAAAAGTCATAAAAAATTCATACTATAATAAGGCATTAATGGTCATAATATAGTAAGGCATAAAAAGTCCAAAAAATTTAATTCTATAGTATGGCATAAAAAAGTCATAAAACCTCATAGTATAGTAAGGCACAAAAAGTCATGATAAAGTAAGGCATAAAAAGTCAAAAAAATGTCATAGTATAGTAAGGCATAAAATAGCATAAAAACGTCCTAGTATAATAAGGCATAAAAAGTCATAAAAATGTCATAGTATAGTACAGCAAGAAAAGCCATAAAAATGTCATAGAATGTATGGTAAGGTATAAAAAGTCATAAAACCGTCATACTATAGTAAGGCAGAAAATGTCATAAAAACGTCATAGTATAGTAATGCCTAAAACGGCATAAAAATGACATAGTATAGTAAGGCATAAAAAGTCATAAAAACAATATTTTACAGTAAGGCAGAAAAAATCTATAATACAGTAAGGCATAATGTTTCATGAAAACATCATAGTATAGTAAGGCATAACATTTTTTAAAAACGACAGTGTAATCTGGCATAAAAAGTCATACAAAACTCTTATTTTAGTCTGGCATTAAAAATCATAAAAATGTCATTGTATCGTGAAGCATAAGAAGTCATGAAAAGGTCATAGTATATTAAGGCATGAAAAGGTATACACACAACACAATGACAAATGACACAGTATCAAATCAAATCAAATCAAATTTATTTATAAAGGACATTCAAAAACAGTAAACAACTATCCAAAATGTCTAACAACATCTGCAACAACACAAACAACACAGAGAAATAAAGTCAACACACAATAAAAACAGCACAACAAAACACACAAGCACACTGAAATGAGGGAGACAACTTATCTTGGCTTGAAACGCAGTTGTGTATAAAAATGTTTTGAGCTGTTATTTAAAGGAGTCAATGGATGGGGCAGATCCGATGGATGTGGGCAGGCTATTACAGTCTGGGGACCATGACTGAGAAAGCCCAGTCACCTATGCGTTTCAAGTGAGTGTAAGGGACGGTCAAGAGGCCAATGTCGGATGATCTGAAGGGCCTCGCTGTAGTGTAGGGGGTTAAAACATGTGTGATGTATGAAGGAGCTGCTCCATTTAGGACAAACAAATCGCTATCCTGTAGCGAATTGGGAGCCAAAGCAGAAAGGCCATGATGGGGGCAATGTAATCCCTCCATCTGGAACCAGTAAAAAGCCGAGCTGCAGCGTTCTTGAACAGTAAGGCATAAAAAGTCATAAAAATGTCATATTATAATGAGTCAAAAAAAAGTCCTAGTGTAATAGGCATAAAATATCATAAAAAGTCATAACAACGACACAGTATAGTAAGGCATAAAAAGTCATGCAAAAGACATAGTTTAGTAAGGCATAAAAATTCATAAAAAGGTCATAATTTAGGAAGATATAAAAAGTCATAAAAATTTCATGGTATACTAAGACATAAAAAGTCATAACATCGATAGTATAATAAGGCAAAAAAGTCAGAAAAACAACACAGTACAGTAAGGCACCGTAAGTTGTGAAAAGGTCATAGTATAGTAAGGCATAAAGGTGTCATAGTGTAGTAGGACACAAAAAGTCATTAAAACATCATTGTATATTAAGGCATGAAAAGTCATAAAAATGTCAGTATAGTAAGGCATAAAAAGGCATACAAATGTAATACTGTAGTGTAATGTCACAGAATAGTAAGGCATAAAAACCTCATGGTATAGTAAGGTATTGAAATTCCAAAAAACGTCATAGTTTAGTAAGGAATAAAAGTCATAAAAAAATCATAGTATATTAAGGCATGAAAAGGCATAAAAACGGCATAGTATAGTAAGCCATTAAAACTCATAGGATAGTAAGGTTTAAAAATGTCATAATGTAGTAATGTATAAAAAAGTCATAGTATAGTAAGACCTAAAAAGTGATAAAAACGTCATGGTATAGTAAGGCCTAAAAAGTTATAGTATTCGTGATGACATTTCAATGGGATTTTTTGACAGAAATGAAACTCATACTTTCATATATCCACCACTTTAGATTCACTCCTGCTAGCAACCTGACTGCTAGACTACAGAACACAGAAGCCAGGATTAGTTTGCTAGTTAACGCTAGCTAACATAGTAAAATAACAGTTGACATTTTCCTGGTGATGTTAGGTACCAACTGTGGTATTCTCACATGGACATGAGCATTCAGATAGCCCCACCCCTTCAGTCAATCAGATCCTACCATGCTAGATCAGTTGTCTTGGAGACCTAGCCTCTTGGAGGGCACATTGGAATGATCTAATATGACTTCACTCCAAACATAGTGGGAACAAGTTCATTCACATATTCCTCGGGACAATTCTTTCCTCCCAAAATATTGGTAGGAACATTTCCCTACCGTCCATATGCAAACCTATGCCCTTGATTTCAGCAATTTTTTCATTACTTTTAGGTAACTATTTACATTTCTCTGCTTGCTTTTCCCTCACTCAATCGCAAGTGCTATAGCTGACTCAATTTGATATATTTTTTAAATCAAATCAGTTGAGCTACTCCACAATCTTATGTACCCCCATTGCAACAGCAGAAATTACCCACAGGGGAACAGCAGTCACCAAAGTTGTATTAATTCTTTCGCACAAGGATGCTAAAGTTGCCACATAGAAGTGTCACAATCTTGCATTGAATTAACATTGGAATTAACATTATAGATAAGAATAGAAATAAGATTTTTGTCAAAAGTTAAAAAATTTGATTAAAAACTATTGCATGGTTGATAAAGTGCAGTCCCAATGTAATGATGTAACATATGAATTTTCATTTGCACAGTCAAACACATAGTTTAATGTTCTGCAGGACATAACAATAAGAATATAATCTCCACAGCTACTGAAAATTTTCATGAACCCTTCAATGACATAATTAATAATCATCATTACACAGAAACATGAAGCACTCCTCCTCCTTTTTCCCTTAAAGAGTTAGTTGTTGCACTGTCATTGAGTATTATGTGACACATTTCCTGTAAACTGTTGTTTAAGCTGATATTTCCAGTAAACTGTTTGAACAGCAGATAATTATCACTTGTTCCGGTAACAATACTTGTGATAATGTCAACCTGAAGCTGGACAGGACAGTAATTCTTCTAACCTGTTTAGGGGAATACATCCTCACTGAACTGAACTCATTAGAAAAATGTTTCACAGAATACAGTTTGACATTTCACAACAGGAGTATAGAGACCAGACTAGACTAGACTAGTGTAGACTAGAATGGCACTCAGGAGAGCACATACAATCCTACATTTTCTTCCATGAGATCCGGATTATTATCTGCACCTAATTGTATGAACTCGTAGATGTCATCACCATAATGCATATGCATACTTGCTCATTGTCAGACTGTCATGCCTCACCAGGACACTTGAATAGAATGGAGAATGGATCATTAATGTTATTAGTAACACATGCACTTTTTCTGGTATGACTGAAGTCAAACTGTCTGCTGTGAAAACGGGGATATTCATGCCGACTGTGGCTTGTGTGTTCAGAAAAGAAAAACAGGTGATGTTCCTGAAGCAAACACATCAGTCAAATCCAAATTAAGGATGAATTAAATGATCTTGGTTTCAGCTTAGCTTTGTGTTTTTTGTGTGTTTAAGCAAAGTTGAATTTTTTACAGTCTTTTTTCCAATTGAACAACACAGAAACCCATTAGAAACATGCATGAAAAGAAAAAATGCAGTTTGTGCTCTAGATAATGTTATATTAGTGGAATTAAACTTGACTTTTGAACTAGATAGTAATAGTTCATAAAAATTAATTTAATTGATGTGTTGATGAGAGGGGTGGGATTGCATTTCTCTCAGCTTTCAAGGGGGGGGATGACTGAAAAACTTTCAAAAAATCACTTTGTTGGGCAATGAATAGTCACATTTTTGACTCACAGCCTGTAATGTATTTACACCATGACACCTGCCAGAAGCTACTACGAATAAAGACTCAGTCATTTCCAAGACTTCTAAAGACTTCTGCCAGAAAAAGTTGAAACTGATCCAAGCAGGTCGAGCCTTCATTGTTACTGTTCAGTCAGTGAATGCGTCATCAGGTGTTTGACATTTGACGCCAACCTGGTCCCGAGTCTGAAGTTGTACATAGACAAAGGTAAAATGATCCACGTGTGTTTTGTAATGAAACCTGTCACATGTAAGCTGCACAAAACATACTTCTGTAAAGAAAAAGAGTGTCAAGTCATGTAACGTTCCCTCAGTGACAAAGATAAATGGTCATAAATGGTCCCATGCATCATGGAATCAAAAAGAGGAAGTCGAAAACATGTTAAAGGCAGCACTGTTGCTTCCAGCATCAGTCCAGTGTGGCTCTGCATGTGTGCGTTTGACTCTCGTCCACCAACATCATCAACGCCATGACCCCTCTGCTGCTCGGAGCCGTGCTCCTGGGAAACCTGGGTGTCTGTGTCACAGCACAAGGTAAGCTTTGATATATTTGTATTTATGTTTTAAGACAGATGGATTAGTGTTACTATTGTCTGATGGATTTGACTCTATCACTCTAAATCCTCAAGTTTCTTTTCAGATCATGTTTTGAAAATCCCTGTGATGAGTTTAAAACATCGACATTGAGCTGACAGGATATTGAGAGATGTATGGGTGCTAATCAAAACAATCAATACCAGATCTTACAAATACTAGATTCTGCCTTATCTGAACAGCTTGCGTTATTTACTTAAGCATTGTGTCATGATATATTACATTTAATTTCAGGGTACAATACAATAAAAACAAACCAGTCTTAACATCAATATATAATAAAACTAAATATTGTTTGCCGAGTGTAAAATTGACATTTCTTTGTCTCTTAAGTTATTTCAAGACATAAGTACGAATGGCAGTCACCAACAAAACGGTTAATACATTTGCTAAGAACAGAGTAGAAATTTTACTCACTTAAGGCCAAGAGAATGACATGTGGTCAGGAATCAAAATAAAGAGCGTAATATGAGAGTGTAATGTGCTCTGAGATTTCAAGGAACAAACTTCCATGCCAGGTTTGAAAAAAGTAGCCGTGTGTTTTCAGGTGCAGTGGTGCACATTCATGAGTTTTTCTAAGGACAAAAAGTTCTGGTTCTGAGTAGACCTTCACTGATCCCAGAGGCAAAATATGATACACCAAAGAAATTGTAGTTGAATTAATGAGGCCAAAACAGTAAAACAGATTTATTTTATATTTATTTCATATTTATTTTTAAATATAATGTCAGAGCCCATATAGAAGCTGTGATCGACTATTACTATGCTGTTGTTATTCTGCTGTATAATGAACACTATTATTACTTTTCTTTCATTTCTTATGAATTTAATTGATGCTTTTATCTCCTCATGAACCACTAAAGTACAAAATCAATAACTTCCTCAGTGCTGGTGATGCTCACTCCACCTGCCCAGGTAAGGTTTGACTCCATGGACTATAAAAACATTCTGCACTGGACTCCGCCCACCAACAACACCTCACTGCGGTACTACGTCCAGTGGAAGATGTGAGGCATTACACACACACATAAACAAAATTGTGACATAAAGATGATGTCCTGATTTAAAACCCCTCCTCTCTGTGTTTGTGTCCGTCCCTCATCTCCTCAGTTACGGGGAGCCTCAGTGGGTGGATGTGGATGGCTGTCAGGGGATCAAGAAGCAAGAGTGTGACCTAAGTGACGTGACCTCTGATCTCAGAGAGTGGTACTACGCCAGAGTGCACGCTTCCTCTCTTCCCTCCAGTAAATCAGCTTGGGCCCTCTCCCCCAGATTCAGCCCACGTTGGGACAGTGAGTGTTTACACACGTCCTCTTCCTCTTCCTCCTCCCCCCTTTTCCTCCTCCTCCTTGTTTGCATGCTCTAGGGACAATAAACACAAGATTTCAGGGTTTTTTTTGCAGTACAGGCACTTAATTACAAAAGAAAAGACAAAAAAAGATTTTAAGAAATCTGTTAAAAAATAATGAAGTCACCAAATTCCCTCCTTTAAGTGAAAAACAAACATGACCTCTGCTTCCTGTCTCCTTTTTTTTGTTGTACTTTGTCACTCTTTATTTTTGTGTTTCATCATAGCATAAAAAAACTAACATGATCCTTCCATCTGCAGCCCAAATCAGCCCACCTGCACTGAGACTGAATGTCACAGAGCAAAAGGTTGTGGTCCGTGTGAAAGGCCCCCACCCGCTGGTCCGGAAGATGCACAGCAAACTGCACTACAAGATCTTCCTCATACACACCAGTGGAGAGGAGGTACACACACACAGTATCTTGTTTTTGATTAATTGATTAGCCGTTTACTCTATATGATGTCAGAAAAACACCAGTCTCATTTAACCAGATGTAAAAAAAAGTCAGAAAGTCAGAAAGGAAAAAAAAGCCACCACATGAGTGATTTATGATATTAAATATGAGAACAAGAAGTGGAGAGAATAAGTGGTGTTTTTACAAATAATAATATGATTTATGATTTAAACCATTAAACAATCATAAAATAAAAATTACTAATGATTAATTTGTGATGGATTTTACCATTTGAAGAATCACCATCTCTATTACATACATAGATTTTTTTTTTCCTGGAGCCTGGAACAAATAAAATGTAACACACACAATGTGCAGACTAGAAACTACATTTGAACTACAACTATTACTATTACGAAACAGAAGAGGAAGAAGAACAAGAAGAAGACGGAGAGGAGCGGAAGAGGAAGAACAGAAGAAGAACAAAAACAACAACACACAATTCTTTCATTTCTCCTATAAGGCTCAATTTGCCATAATATGTTATGTAAAGACAATTTCACATGTTCAACTGTGCAACAGAACATTTCCTGAGGGTGTAACTCACTGTCTCCTCTGCAGGAAGTGTTTAAGATGGACTGCTGCTCTAACAAGCTGACTCTGAAGGAGCTGGGCCACAAGGCAAAGTACTGCCTCCAGGCCCAGACTGTGATCACCTCCCAGGCCAAGAGCAGCGTTCGTAGCTCTCTGAAATGTGTCACTATGCTCTGATCACATGCAGGTGTGAACACACACGCACGCACGCTCACATCTACACCATGAATACTGAAATATGTCTCTTGAAGCTATGTCTCCTCTGTGATTCTTTCTAGGAATGTCTGATAATTTTGTTTATACCAAACTCTATAAAACAAAGAACCCTGCTGCAGTAAAAAGAAAGCCGTGAGAAAAAGTTACAGAGATTTGTGTGACTGTGTCTGTGCTGGACAGTATCGTCAGTCAGTGAAAGGTAACCTCTCAGCTCTGACAAAAGGTTACCAAATGAGAAGTCAAGTATCAGCTGTCGCACAACAATTGCCTGATGCAGTCAGACAGAAAGAGGGAGGGAAAATGAAACTCCTGGAGGAGAAATCTTAGCAGGAGAGTTTGTCCACAATGACTATAATTACCTCTGCTCACCCCACCCTCTTCACTATTTTTAGATCTGCACATACCTGATGTGTAGAGCAGCAACAACGCAACAGTTATTCCTTTTGTGCAGTTCATTAATCTTGTCCGTTCTTCTCTCCCTCTCCTCTTTACTGCAGACAAACATGATACTCTGAAGGAGTGGACCTGTCATCCATCAGTTTCACTTACCCATCGCTACCTCGACGGCTGCAGCCACAAATATCTGTGCCAATAAAAAGAGTGATGCACTTTATTATTCATAGCATTAAGGATCAGATGCGTGGTTTGAAGTGTATTGGTTAAACTTTCACTTTGAACCAAACATTTGACTTGTATCATTTCAGCATTCAGGACACTGTAACTCCACTGTTCACTCAGAAGAAGCTTCTTTCTTTTTCTTTTTTTTGTTCACTCAAGGTCTTCTTACCAGCTTTTTTCCTCACTAGTGAGGGGACCTTGAGTTAAATATCCACCAGCTCAGCTTTCTTCAATGGTATTTTATTTGGTCTTTACATTTCTATTTGTTTCCCATGAATGGAGGAAACATTATACAATTCTGACGAGAGTCTCTGTGTCTTTCCTTTAAGTAGCTCTAAAGAATGCCATAGATAATCTACTCTCCATATTTGGTATAATATCTAACAGAAGTGGGAAGAGAGGGATGTGTGAACATTCTATTGGTTCGTTAATCATAAACAAGTGAACTTGATTTACGCATTCAGATCAACTATCAAGGACTCTTCAGAATGTGACATCATGCACATTTGCTTGCATTGATGATTCCTCCGTTCTCCTTGGCCAAGCTCAATAAACATCTTCAGCATAAGACATCTAGGGCTCCAGTGGTCTTTCCTTCTCTGAAAACCTCAACCATCGATGATAACATTTTCTCCCTAACAGTAATCACCACTCTTTGTGCTACAGCTGGTTTGTATCCAGTCGACCCCCAAGGATGTGAATGTGATCTTAAGCTTTTAGCAGGGAGCTTTCTTCAAATTTCAAAAACTGTGCTTAGATAGGAGCTGACACTATTCACTTCGCTTGTTGCATGCATCACACTACACACTACACACTACAAATAAAAGATACAGTCACTGTTCACACTGTTGGTTAATTCTTTCTCATGGGTCTGGAATTTTCTTATTGTCTACAAAAACATGAAAGGACGAAAGTTAAGAATATGTTTATACACTGTATCAGCACTTTCTTACTCCCCCGTCTGTCACCCCCCAAGCCCATTGGTTCCTCCTGAAAACTCAGTATATACAGTATATAATATAATAAACACAGTCCTGCAATAATTCCTACTTTCATGAACCTTATCAACTGTATTGTCATTTTGGAGAATGTATGTTGTGCTGCTGTTGAATGGTATTCCATTATACAAAGAGGTGTGTTTAACCAATCCTCACTGATGAGAATAGGGTGGACAAAATAACGGGAACACTCGTCATCATAAAGCAATGCCACTGGACAGCACCACAGGCTGCAGTACAATTTTACATGTGCATTGATGCACCAGTGTTAATCACCTTATAATGTAATAAGAGGCTGTAACATGAAGCTCTGAACACTTTGTGTACTTTCATTTATATAGGAATTTAAAAGCAGTACCTTGTAATTTTAGTTTGTAGTGTTGCCACTTTTACTTAAGCAGGTTACTTCTTAGCTCCTCCAGCATTAAATCTGAGAAAACCGCATCAAATAACTGTATTTAATTTAGCCTGAAAAGAAAAACACAAAGGCAACATTAGTCTCGATTTGGACTTTATTCAAAATGTTGACAAACTTGATACTCTTGATCAATCAGGCATGAAATAGCCAATACTGTAATGATAACAAAAAACGGTTCACTGAAACGGATGTACTGAAAGCTCAATCTGTGACACAGTCAGTGTGTGACAGAAGTGCTCAGTGATTTAGAGGAAGTGTTGCGTTAAACAGGAAGTCTTGTTATTTGATCGGAAGGTGATGGGTCTTTCAGCAACAGCTCTGCACTGCGCCTCTGAGGTCGTTTGTGAAGTTTTCATAGGGAGTACTTTTCTTTGCGAGGACTCCTCACTAGCAGCTAGTTCATTCATTTAGTGGTTTTGGTCCTGAAGACAAAGAGGCCTTAGTGCTGGTAGAGTTGAATTTGGTCCCATAGCCAGAAGCCTGAATGCACCATATTGATGACTGCTTTCACAGATATCATTGCTGCAGTTTGTCAAAAAGCAGTGGAATGTTTGTTTGGGTATGTCGAGTCATCTTTAACCGTAACAGACAAAACCCTTTGTTTACCACTGGCCAACAAAGTTTTGAGACTGGACGACAAACTGCAAACTTCAGCTTCAAACTGAAATACAATATTTTAAAAGGGGAATGTACAGCACCAGTGCATTGTGGTATTTACAGATACCCTCAATTCTTAAAATAATGGGTAAATCCAGTGATATTTTGACTTGCAAACTGCACCTTTAACAACTCGATGATTAGCAAGGCCTTTACAGTGTTGGACCTGGTTTGAAAGTCAGTGGTCACAAAGTACAGAACATGGGATACTTCATATTCTACATCATCATAAGATGCCACAGTGATACACACATCAGGAATCACGATTGTATTTACACCATTTGGGAATTCATATCTTACTGTAAATGAGCCCTTGGTTTGTCCTTCAAAAGTGGGACACATTTTCTACTGATCTCTAAAAAACAGACTGAAGTAAGACAGCGATTAAAAAAACTGAGGGAATATAATCACCAGTTAACTTTCAAGAATGGGTGTTAAGTTAATTTGTTCATATTTTTGGAGAGAGAGCGCCCGGGAGTGACCATGGAACTAGGTATAGTATATATCCTTCATAGTCAGACCTTCATACCATCAAATTCTTATAGGTCCGGAAAAACATATCAGGATAATGAGCCCTTTGTTATTCCTGAGGAAGCCAAATAATCTGGCTCTGAGTTTACAGTATGATAATGAAATGCAAACTGTGACTTTACTCTCTTTACCCAAATTCTGAACTCAAATGTCTCCAGACTTTCATGAGAATGATGAGATAAGAAATTTGGCTACATGGGGAAACCATCTGCTTAGTGTTACATCAAAAGTGTGCAAAAAGAAATAAAACAAAAACAAAAAAGATGACTCAGCTAAATGTCAAACCAATTAAATGTTAACAGAGTAATTGGGTGTATTAAATGAATAATGGTAATGGGGATAAAGACATAGATGAAGTTGAGCTTTAAAAAAAAAAAAAAAAAGAATAAATAACTTGTTTGCATAAATTAAAAAACTGTGTGCACACAGGACAATAAAACTGAAGATATGAATTTGACTTAATGTGAAGTACTTGAAGACACAGGGTCATACTGCTTTACAGCACAGGTATTTTGTGCACTTAATGTTTTAAACAGTGTCTTAGAATAAAACTTCTCCTGTGTGGTCACTCCCGGGCTGTGTCATTTCAGGTGCAGCCAATCAGATGTCAACAGGGGGATTAGAGTATAAATTCAGTAATTTGGGGCACGTTTTCCTGACATGAAAATTCATGGCTTAAGCGCCCCGTCCCCCCTCAGCTGAAGCGTGCCGAGTACATGAAATATTAACCACAGAAACCTTTCTATAAATACTCTGAGAAAAATCCATATTAGCAACACATGACCACCATAACAGTCATTTAAAATTTAAATCCATCTTTTAAGTGAAAAGATTCCAAGTCTGCTTTGTGGGACCTCGAGTGTTTTTCTACCTGCACGTCTAAAATCTTCAGGGCATTCTAGGAGGAAACATACTTGCATCCCTGCTACGATCCAGTATGTAACCTGTCCCTCGTACAAACTGTACTGCAGCATCTCTGACTTTTAAAACAGTCATTAAACAGCATAGATGCAATACAAAACAACTGCCAGAATTAGGCTGATAAAAAGAAATATTTACAAACAAGGCATAATGATTTTTTTTTGTTCAACATTTTAAGGGTACATGCATGCATGATTCTCAAGTCAAAAAAAAATCTAAAAGCGTGATCACACAACTTTGAAACTGACATGGAATGTATCTCCTGTTGGTTGCTAAGGTAAGGTCAAGTCTTTTCATATTAAATTACCTATAAAAATATATATATAAATAAAAAGGTGAGGGTATTGTGTTGCGAAAGCTGCAGCAGCGGTCAACGTTTAGCTGCACCGACAGAAGGAGAAAGGAAGAGGGTGACAAAGTGAGAGAGAGGGGGGGAGAGAGAGAGAGAGAGAGGAGAGAGAGAGAGAGAGAGAGAGAGAGAGAGAGAGAGAGAGAGAGAGAGAGAGAGAGATGAGCGGACAAAGGTGGCAGTGGAGCACCGAGGGATCAGAGGAAGAGCTGCTGATCCAGCTCTGGAACGTTCTGCTCACGTTTCAGAACTAGGTGTATGTGTGTTCCATAATGAGACACAGCAGTGTGTAAGGCCGCTCTCAAACTGAGATAAGGGTGCTCATTCTAGAACTCCTGTGACACAGATGTCCTATAGAAGTCTCAGACTTGGTTATGCTCTAGAACACTGACATCACTATGTTCTAGAACTAAGACAAAGCTGGGTTCTATGTTATAGAACTTTTTTTAAAAAGGCAGCCTGGTTCTAAACCCTCCAGGAGTTCTAGGCCAAACAAATTCTGTCTGTATTTTCAGGAAAGCTCTAGATTGTATGGCATGAACTATGACCACAGCAGACCACTTCTCAAGGCGCCTAAGAGAGGAACTCATTCTCCAGCTCGAAAACGGAGGGCCGTGCCGGGGAGCTCTGAATGCGGCAGAGCGGCACGGTGCAGTCTCGTTTCTGGCCCTCTGTGTCCATGTCCAGCAGGGAGCAGCCTACCCCTACCTCTGATGACAGCACCATGTTTAGGTTTTTTGCTGTCTTCTCTCCGGAGTAGTGGCCCAGTGAGTAGCTCTTGTTGCGTCCTCGCAGAAGGGCCCAGGCGTGGTGTTTGGCCCGGAATGACACTGGCCGTGGTCTGGAGAAGGCCTCCCCGCCAGAGGTCTTCTCTGACGCTCCGTCCTTCTCTTTCTCCTGCTTCTTCTGTGTGGCTGGAGGAGGCAGAGTAGGTGGGCCATTGGCTGGAAACAGACAGAACAGATACATTTTTGCGTGTAAATATCTTTTAAATTGTATACACATGCTTACTTCCTGTCCCCCTGCTATGTATTACTCACTATTGTGGTTGGTAGTGTATTTCTTCCTGCGTAGTCGCGTCCCTGTGTTATGGTTGCTTTGCTCTTGTGGCTGGCTTTGGGTTTGCACTGGTGTCTGAGTTTTAGCTGCAGTCCTGTTACTCTGGCCTTCTGGGGATGCCGCTGGGCCGGGTCTGGAGGGCTCTGTGTGATGATTGACAACCACAAGCTCAACTTTTCCGGGGCTAGACTCGGACACCTCCGCCTCAGACTGTAAGAGGCACTTGGTGGAGTTGCATTCCATAATGGCTGACATGGAGATTAGATTGACAGGTTGGGTGGAGGTGTGGTTTGACGAGGCCTCGTCTTTGCGGGAGCGACCACTTGGCGGTGAGGTGCTGCGTCGGAACCGGGTCGCACGTTGAAACAGACCCTCCTTCTTTTTTTTCTCTTTCTCCTCACGCTGGGGCTCGCAATCTTCAGCAGGGGCTGAGTTTTTGAGAGCCTCCCTAATGTCATAGCCGAGCACGACTGAAGCCAGCAGCGAGCCGCAGCCATACAGCACAGAGTCCGTCTTGCGGCGAGCTGACGTCCGCTTCAGGCTGTTGGTGGGGGTGAGCTGTGGGGTGGTGGAAGTGGACGAGGTGGATGTGGTGGTGTAGGGGTCGTCTGGGGTCTCTGGTGGGCCACTCTGACCCGCTGCCCCGACCCCGGTATCTCCCAGCCCACAATGCCCACCGGGGCTCTGAGGCTGCTGCTCGTCCCTCCACAGAGGTAGATCGATGTACACCTGGTTGGGGAACTTGAGCTGCTTTGGTTTGGAGCTGCTGTCAGGACATTCCTGGGTGAATGCCTCATCTTTACCGGCCCCCGCTAAAAACGCAGAAGTGGAAATTACAAACATATGACTGATTCCTTCCCTATACATGCATCACTGGTTATATAAAAGCACCTGCTGTTTGAGAACAAATGACTTGATTGTGTTTGTATGAAACACCTGAAAGGTAATTAAAGGACATTAAACCTCATTTAAAAGTAACAAGCACTCAAAAAACTTTTAAAAAACTAAGATTTTAAAACCTATTCAGTCATAAGACTCTTTAAACAAAATGTCAACAAGAACTGCAGAGCAAAGTTCACAATAATTATTCAAATATCAAACAAACACAAAAAATTCTAATTTTAAAATGTATAGCATCACAGTGGATTTTCAGCTCACCTTGTTCGGCAAACAGGGCAGCGAGAGGGACAGACTTCTGGGACTTCACCAGGCTGGTGGACCAGGGATTACTGCCGTCTGACAGAGGACGCACTCTGAAGACCATGCACAGGTAAAGAGGACACAGACGGGAGAACATGAAATAGACTGTTTCTCTGGATGGGTGGGGCTTGTATAGCTATCTTTGTGAGGACCAATTTCAGTCTGAAACCAGTGTAGTGAGGACATTTCTGCATTGTGATGACATGTTCGCCAGTTCCTCACAACTTCAAAATACTGTTTTAAGATTAAGACTTCGGTTCAAGGTTAAAGTTAGGGTTAAGGTTTAGGTTATGCATCTCATTGTGATGGTTAAGGTTTGAGCGGATGTTGTCAAAGTGTGAAGTCAGGTGGGTTTGCTGGTTTCAGCAGCAACATTGTCTTGTGGTTAGTTTTACCACACGTGTGAAAGAAGAGAAATCGTCTGCTCTCTAGAACTGTTATGGTAGGACGGATGCGGCAACCAACTGTAACAGAGATTAACTAAATGCAATGAATCAGCATTGAAATTATTTTCACTTGTCATAAATGATGATGTACTCTTTGTGGTATATTTCCATATTCCAGAGGTGAGTCAAAAATAACACCTAGACATGAGGATGTAGCCGTGTTGTTTGAGAACAGGAACCAAATGGTGGCCAGTTTCCAGACAGGTAGCGTCTGCTTTTTTTCTTTGTCTATCTATTTGTGTGTGTGTGTGTGTGTGTGTGTGTGTGTGTGTGTGTGTGTGTGTGTGTGTGTGTGTGTGTGTGTGTGTGTGTGTGTGTGTGTGTGTGTGTGTGTGTGTGTGTGTGTGTGTGTGTGTGTGTGTGTGTGTACACTCTACCTCTCAGCAGCAGCAGGCCTTTCTTTGCTCTGCACTGAACTGGGGCCCCAGGTTCTTCCTTTCTTCTTGATTCCCTTTTTCACATCATCAAACTCCTCTGGCCTGAAGAGGGTGCTGCGGCCCCACGTACGGTTGCTCTCATCTTGAGTAACTGTTCACACAGACCAGAAGTGTTACCACACAGTCAAACAACTGCATTGAGCTGGTAGGGATTCTGCTGTAAACATGTTAGTAAGACTATTATATATATATATATATATATATATATATATATATATATCACATACCACATAAGAATGTTCTATCTGAAAAGGTGAGAGATTTTAAGGCCATTCTACACTGGATGGATATGAGCCTTTAAATCAATAATCAATGATCATAATAACGCAGTTTGATTCAGGAAGATGACTATTTAACCTTTAACCCTTTCATACTAGAAAATATGATTATTCATTTCTGCACATGTAAAATCAAAAAGCCAAAAAGCAGAAGCCAAAACTCAAAAAGTTGTTATAAAAGTTTCTTATACGTGTGGGTTAGTGATTGTGAAGTTGTTATGAAGATGTGAAGGAAAGGCAGGACCAAACATGTCAGGCCAACAGACTGGGGCCAAAATTGCCATAACTAGAAAAATATTTATTAACAACATTACCAATATGTTTTTAAAAGTACCAATTATATAATTCAAGCCAAATAATATGAGATGATCCAAAAAAAAAAAAAATATGAATGATAGATTGGCCCTAGTCTGTGGCATAAACCTCATCGTCTCTTGTCATTTGATTTTTAGGTTAAATAGAGTACCTGTGAAACAGTTTCAACCAGCAGCAAACACCAAAATCATGTTATAAACCACACATCAGGAAACCCAATCAGCACGTACAATCCCCACTGATGGGAGGCTGTTAGGCATCAAACCCTTTCAATTGTCAAAGTCAGCAAAACACCACATTCAGGGCTCGGTACTGTTAGCCACAGAGTCCACACCCACGCTGCATGTGGGGAGCCAATAGCCTTGCCTGTGCTCCTGAGCCCAGAGTAGGCTGTGAACTCGCTGGTCAGATCAACATCCTGTTGGTAAACATACAAACTGTCCCTCCGCATATGAGATGTCACTGAGGAGGGAAACATACAGGTTACCTCTAACCAACATGAGCGTTATGACACAGGTATTGTGGTGCAGATGCTCCTAGCTTGTACCCGCTGTGAAACAGAACATTTAGTGCAGTTCTTCAAATGGAAGAAAGCCTACTTGTGTTAAGAGTTGTGTTTCTTCTGCCACAAGCAGTCGACATAGATGTATATGTCTGTAAGCATTCATGCATATTTGTCCCAAATTTGCCCTTCAAGACCAACCACTTGCCAACAAAACCAGCGTCAGTAAGTAGACAGCACCTTAAAACAGTTTTTGGCTTCTGCTGATTCTGTAAATGTTACGGTAGTTTTTGAATTTCTCCCTCCATCATCTCTGTTAGTGCTAAACATAACAAAAACAGTGATTCTGAGCGCCGGCTGCCTGAATGTCGCGATCTACCACCAATGCTCAAGAGGAATTTGTTCCAGTTATTGCAAGGGCGTTGGTGCGTGACTAACAACATTATCAATCTGTTCAAACAACTGGCTGACTGCTTGTGGCTCTGGGGCTTTTGTTCACACAGCTCTTGTCACTGTGAATGACACTGTTCCCAATGTTCCCTGTTCCCATGACATTCTTTGTGGGTTGATGTGATTTCTTCAGAATATTTTTAAAAATACACAGATTTAATAATCCAGGCCAAGACCAAGAGTGTTGATGCAGGGGATGGAGGAGAAAGCCAGACCTCAAACTAAGGAAAACTTTAGTATGGAAAAAAAAAAGAAGACGAAGAACACCAAACTTACGCTGAATGGCTCGTAGCCGAGGGATGAGTGTGGGACTGCTGGGAGGAGAGGAGCTGGTGCTGTGAAGGCTCCGCCTCTTGTCCATAGAGGGCGACGCCTGCACGGTGATCTTATGCTGGAAGTCTGCAAAATGCAACATGGACATAAAGACAAGTGCAATACAGTCAGAGGGATTATACACCAACATGTATCCTTAAGTTTTTGACACAATTCAAATGTACGACACACACAAGCACACAAGCCCTGTACACAATTGTACATACTTAATGATTTGAGAGTGTCAATTTTTCCTGAAATTACTCGACAAATCCCTGTGGAAAAATTAATTTGTCCAGTTTTGGGGTTAATATTGTCAGAAATGTTACAGGAGTGCTGTGAGAAAGTACCTCTATTCACTGTTTCATGCACAATGGCTTTAATATTGCATTTTTTTGACTGCAGTATTAAAGTATTTACTTACAAATTCTTCCCTCTCAGGATTTAAATCGATTCGTGCACTGCAGCTCAGAGTACATACACTGTGTTATAGCTGTAGTAATTCTGTCAGCTAGTTCGAGCAGCATGAAAATGCTATTTGCTATGCTTTTGAAAATGCCCTAAACATCACTTTGTCAGCGAACATCTCACTTTAAGTGCCTGTAATTTCTATCTTGAGGTTGGACACAGTTACATCTTAGCTCTTTTCACCGCTCCCACTGGAGGACCACCATTTCAAATATGAACCCAAGTCAAGACAGCGTTCAGTCTGCACGCTCACCTGAAGGCAGGCTGATGCGGTTTCCATCCTTCAGTTTAAGACGGGAACGTTTGAATTTGCCCTTCCTCTTCTTCACATTGGGCTTGTCTTTGTTGAGCTGGAAAATGAGGATGTTGAGCTCTCTCTCCAGCACGTTGATCTCCCGCTCTGCCAGCTGCTGCTCCCGACGCTTCAGCAGCTCCTCCTGAGACTTCTGCTGGAGGGCGGCCCGCGTCAGCTCCTCTTCCCTGGAACGTAGCTCCTGGAGAAACCAGATATTAAGACACGAATATGGTTAAATTGGTAGGCAGACTGGAAGACAATTGGAAGTGCACTGGCACCCTTAAGAAACTTTTTCTCTTAAAAAGGGAACGCCATTGATTTTGTCTGTTTAGGGTCTTTACTCCTGTATATGTGAAAAAGGTTGAATAAAGCCTCTCCTCCTCATCTTTGTTTCAGGCAAGCAGTTTTAGGCTGCATTAGCTGCTGCAAGTATAACGCACCCAGATCTCAGACCAAACTCTTGCCAGCCAAGTTGCATTGTAGGTAATGTAGGCACCAGGTTAAAATGAATAAGAGTACATGGAAAAAAAAAAGATAGTCCTGGTTCTGTTGCATCAATTTTGATGGGTTTTTTTTCAACTGTCCATCATGAAAATAAATCCAAATATTATTTCTTTCACCTTCTCTGGATTATGATTCAACTGTCATGTATTTTTACATTCATGATTCTGTTTCCAATTTGTGCTGGTTGTCAAAGTTGCCCTTTTAATGAACAGTATTCCTCCTGCTGTCTACACACGGACATACACACACATATTAGATGCTGTAACAAGTTGGTTTCAGGAGATTACTGCCTGCTGCTTCAGGCTGTGTTACATAGCTAAACAAGCAGTCTTGTCTCCTCCCATGGCTTACTTTTTCTTCATTCCCTCCATTTTCTCTTTAATTGCTCTCAGCTGAGTATTAATAATCCTTACTGGATGACTTCCATAAAGCAGCTTTACAGTCAAGCCCCTTCAGCCACCCACCTAGACACAGATTACTGTGGGATGTTAACAGGAAATCTGCTGATGCACTGGCTAATTTTACAAGTAATCTTACGTAATTAGCAATGGGGAAAAACTTTTTTTTCTTCTCTTGATTTATGAAAGCTTTACATATTGAGCAAACTTTGAGGTTTTGTTATAGTGTAGCAATGTAAATGATGTCAGTTGAGTTTTTAATTGATTAAAATGACTGTAAATAACATAACACAAAGGTACAGGTTCAGATGGTTAAGTATAACTGGCAAACTAGAAAAAAGCAAAATACATATTTCTATAATACAAAAAATACAATAATTCATACAAAGGCACAAATTCAGTCTCTTAAAACATCACCATCACCACCACCAGTACAGATTCCAGTACCCGTGTCATTCAGTTCACCATTCGTTGACCCAGGTCTGTGTGCTGATCCGGCTGTTTCTCCAAACACTAATTAACCCCCCTTTTTAACACAGCAACAGGAGACTTATACAGGAAGCAGATTAAGGTCTTAACAAGGGGAAGTACGCTAAAGCACCTCGGCACAGATGACTCATTTTCTTAAATGCGTGATTAGCTTGTCCACTGAAAGTAACCAATTAAACCTATTAGTCTGTAAAAGCTTTTCCCAAGTGATCCCAGCAGAGTTGGACCTGCTCTTAATAACAGATTAGTCAACATGTAGAGAGACAAGTTAGGTAGGAGGTGTGTTACATTCACTGTACAGCAGGTTTCCAACTTCCAATTTTGCGTGAGACCTGCTAGCCTTCTTACTATACATATGGATTCACGCATGGATGTTATAAGGATATGTCTGTGAGTCTCATCACTTTGCTCTACCTTCTCTTTGGTCCTGAGCTCATCAAACATCTCCTGAATCTCCACACGCCAGTCATCCTGCATGCTGTGAAAGGAATCCTGGGGCATGGTGGCCATCACCGCCTCCTCGATGGCCGACAGCTGCTCCAGGATGCAGGAGAAGGAAGGACGCACGTGGGGGTCCTGGTCCCAACACTCTGGAAACATACATTGCAATGTATATAGATTGATACATTAACAAACACACTCAACCAGCGTATAAATGTATTATTTCATCTATGCGAGCGATGGTAGTTTACCACTGTAGAAAACTATTAGTGCTTGGCCAGAAGAAACTATTTAGTAATTGATATAATTAAAGCAGTGTTATTAAGGTAAAATTAAGATGTGTAAAATTATAATATCCACATTTAATCAGTATGAACAGCAAATACACAGGCCTGGAGGCAAACTTTGGTAATGAGTTACAAAGAGCCTAAATGTGTATCTTACAATATTTGTAATGGAAAATCTGCATTACACCCACTGCTATATACTGTACATATCATCTAATGACAAACAACTACCGAGTAGAAATCCTTATGTGAATCCAGTTTTTTAAGTTTCATTATTAATTATATGGTTATTTAAGGGCTAATCCTTAATTTGAAAAATTCCTGAAATAACTGTATGTCAGGTCATGCTTTCCTACATCGTGCAGGTACTGCATGGCTGCCCCTGTTAATTTACCTTCCATGAGCTTGGCGAAGGGTTCAGGGCAGGTGGAGGGGATTGGTAGAGTTAACTTATTGACTGCCACTCCGTAAGCAACAGCCAGGCCATCTATCCCTCGGTAAGGCACCTCCCCTGTTAACAGCTCCCACAGCAAGACGCCATAGCTAGTGGACGAGGAAGAAATATTTAACAAAGGAATAAGGACTATTGTCAGACAAATGAGAAAAGTGGATGTTTTACTCTTAGGTCTGTGCGTGTGTGGGTGTTATCTGTCACACCTCCAGACATCACTGCCTTTGGAGAAGAGAGACGACTTGATGACCTCAGGGGCCATCCAGGAGTAGGTGCCTGCTGCTGACATTTTTGTGGTTTTGTGCCACTCCCTGGCCAGGCCAAAATCTGTGATCTTCAAGGTCTTCCTCCCGATGTCGTCATTCTCAATCTTTTCAAGTAATAAAACTGAAAAGAGAGAGGACAGGGAAGGGATACATTAGAGTGGGATCATGGAGGTGACTGAAAGTGGGATGAAGGCAAAAAGGACAAGATACATGAGGGAAAGGGCATAACAAGTGATGAGTGATTGAGAGAAAGGGACAAGGGGAAAGACAGGATTGGGATGAGAGTGACAGATGTGAGGGGGTAGAGGAGAAGGAGAAAGACGAGTGAAAGAGAAAGGGAGATACAAAGAGTTGGGGACAGAGAAAAAGACAACTGCGCAGGTGAGGACATGATAGTCGATATTCAACAGGGCCAACAGCGGTATGCAGGTCATTTATTACTGTAGAAACAGAAGGTTGACAGCGCCACAAAGCACCTGTCCTCGGGTCCTAAAACTGTTTAACACATTAAAGACAGCCGGAACCCTCCAAACCTCTCCGTAACACTACACCTGGCCTGAGAGCCCTGCCACAGTGAAGACACAACCACCTGACGCGTGAAGTCAAGACCCTCTACACCAATCATGTGTTGAAAAAATAAAATGACACATTTTTCTGACTGGTTCTGGGTGAGGACAAAAATGTCCACATGCGATAACAACACTAAAATCAATTGGAGGAGGATAAAAAGGATTTTTAATTGTCAAACTTCACTTTTGCTTTTCAGGTCAAAGTGGATTTGATGTTGAATTTGTTCAGGAACAAGAGTGTACACATTAAAACACATACTAGTATAAAATCCAAAATATCACAGCCTTGTAAAAAAACAACACAATGCAATCTTAGTGCTCATATTAATGTTTCTTATACCCATATTTTCTTATTTATACGGATGTAGAATTTTGGACCAGATTCAACTGCAGTTAGAGATACACCATTCCAATTCCAGCTAGCCAAGAAAAAGTAAAAGTAAAAGTAGAAGTAGAAAGTAAAAGTAGAGTAAAAGTCTAACCACTAAAGAAATGATAAAAATAAGAGTCTTATCTGTGTAAAATGTAGGGCTGCAGACAAATTGTTACCTTATTAACTGACTATTTGTTCAATCAAAAGCCAAAAAACTGTGAAAAATGATGAATACAATTTCCTGAAGTCCAAGGTGATGCCTTAAAATGTTGCTTTGTTGGACCAACAGTCTGAAAACTAAAGATACTCCATTTAAAATGATATATGACAGAGAAAAGAAAACTAGCAAATATGACTAATCAGCAACTACTTTTATATTATGTTCATCCCTCAATCAACTGTTTCAGCTGTAGTAAACTGTACACATTTAAATGAAAAATAAAGAAATGTAAGCTTGAGTAAAAGGTGCATAAAAACCACAAAAAAACATGCATTTAGCAAAACAAAACCCAACAAACAAACAAAAAACCAAAACCTTATCCATGGCAGCAGAGAGTGAGAGTGAACACTTATCATTAATACACACAGGAGTCAACAAAAAGACATTGAGAACATTTAACCTTTTTGAACATGTGCCACCCACAATCAGATGAAGACTGAGGAGTTGTAACATTTTCCTACTGCCAAATGTTTCCTTTTCAGGAGGAGTAAACCTGATACACTAACTGGTAAATATTCTTCTTATCTCTTTACAAGAAACAGCCTTTTCCATGAAATGGTGAATCAAAAGCCAAAACAGACCCTTTGATCCTTTCATCCTCTTGGTATTATTTTCAACATTTGCTTTTACCTTTGCCAAGATCTCCTCACATTACAAACTGTGCCATTTCATTATTTACATGGAGTCCTACCACTGCAGGTAAGTTTGAACATGTCCTATCAACTGTGGTGAGTCTATGAAATGTCAAATCCAGCGGAGAAAATAAAACTTGAGACGCCCTTTAGGTGCTCTGGCAAAGGCACTAAGGTGTAACAGTTAAAGCAAACAGCTAGAATAAAAAAAAACAAAAAAACATGCGAGTGTATTGTTGGCGTGTAGACTCTGATAGTATTCCCATGGGAAAAAGGGATGTAATGATAAAGATACATAGTGGAAGTCTTGAAAACACATCAAGGCATTTGTGTTTCTTCACCTACTGTATCACAAAGTAAATGACTATTTGTTAACAGCTTTCAGTCAAGGCTCTGTTATGTGTGTGTGTGCAAGTATTAAGTGGCTGAAGGAGCTGCACTTTGTGTGCTGTATTATCACACACTGACCTTGGACTTACTCCTCCACAGCAGCACCAAACTAAAACCTGCAAAAACGCACGCATACACACACATTCACACAGTAATGCACAACCATGCACCTATATTACACTTATGCACTTGATACAATTGGCTTACTTATAACAAGCATACTGATCTTTTATCCTATTTTAGAATACATTGTGACCAATTACACAGCATGTGTCATGGCTGAACCACATCTACAGAAAGATGTAGGAGGAGTGGAAAGGAGGAGAGCCATATGCATAAAACTCAAGAGGTTCCACACTGAAAATCTGCGTACAGTCCTTTCTCACTCCCACAGCTGGCCATGAACTGTACGGCTGCACCTTTCTGCTTACATACAGATCTGATATCATTATAAGCGCTCTTTTTTCAATTCTAAATACTCAATTATAAATTGAACTGATTGGGATCATTCTTCTGCGTATAGTGAATAAAGCTTTCCTACACAAGTGAACATGATCATGCATGCACTCAATATTTGTGAGTTCTTATATCTATAGCTAGAATAATTATTGATTAATTGATTAGTCTACAGAGAGAAAAATAATCATCATATATTTTGATAATTGTTTAAATTGTTAAAGTCATTTTCAAGCAAAAATGCATTTGCTGGTTCCAACATCTGAATTATGAGTATCTTGTGTTGTCTTGGTTTTTTGTGATAGCAAAAGAAAATTTGTTTGTTCAGACAAAAATTTGATGACATCAACTTGGTTTAGGAACTTTTGACAGGCATTTTTTTTTTTACCCTTTTCTGTCATTTCATAGACCAAAAAAATAATTGGTTAATTGAGAAAATACTCAATTCTTAATAATCTTCAAGAAATAACACAAGTAGCACTACTGCATATAACTGATATTGTATGTTGCCTCACCATACTGTGCTGGATATTGACTAGTTTCTCATAATTCACATCCATTAAGTCACCGCACATGATCCTAAAAGTAGGATTTATTTTGAAATCAATGAACACTCCTCTTGCTCCTCCTTTACTTGTATAACAATAAAATGAATTCTTTCCAAAACAAGATGCTATATACAATATAAGTCTACAACATGCTGAGAATGAATATGTTGTGGTGTAAACATCCTTCGGCTTCTCTGCTGCAAAAATAAATGTATTTTAACACAACAGGAACCACCCTAAATAATATAGGAAACACATGAGCAGACTAGTTCCTACCAAAAACAAATTGTTTGGGTCATTTCCTCATCAGACTCATTGAAGTTACAGTTACAGGGTGATGGTTAAGATTTTAACTTAGTGTTTAATAAGCACTTTCAAGGTCCATCAAATGATTTCAAGCACCATTTTAACCATAGTGTGAGTCCTATGGGTCTCCATTAATAACAGGGGTATTGGTGCCATTACTAGCCTCGGGCACAGAGGGGATCCTCTACCCAAGCTGCAACAATGGGAATTCCATTACAAACAGGTTTCACTAGACCAATGATATACTCCTACTTCCTGTTGTCAAGTCCTCTCTCAGTGATTCCATAGATTCCTCCCAGCAGGCTCTGTAGGTTTATAATGACTTATGATGGCTTAGTTACACAACCAAGAAGAACAGTGGTTTTGGGATAAACCCGTCTATGTTGATTGGCCTATAGAATATCATGCCAAATTCTTTCTTTGTAGCTCCATGATACTTCAGTGTCAGCCCTCTAGAAATTTCTGATAAAAGACCTAGCTCCTGTCTACATGACTCCGTGCTGACGTTATGCTACAAAAACACCTTTAAACACCAGCCAGCCATTTTGTTTTGCTTCTGGGGTCTAGTAGCAGCCAAGCTAATAACACAAACACACAACGTAACCAGTGTTGGTTAACTTCTGATTCAATGTCATGTGACTGATAAAATGTTACATCATCCATTGCATGATCCTAGCGTACAGTGCAGGCCATAAAGCTTCAGACAGATGTATTAATCAAAGAATGAACAGTGAAATAAATGCATATCAAGCTAAATAAAGCCTCACAAAATAAAAAAGACAATTGAAGCAATTGTTGCTGCAACTAACAAACTTCTGTCATTATCGATTAACCAGCTGATTATTGTTCGATTGGTCTGAAAGTTGTCTGTCACAGTTTCCTAAAGCCTAAGACCTTGGACTAAAGCCTTAGACTTCAAAGTCATTTTGTTTTGTGTTTTAGAGCTGAATTGTGCTACAGAAACAGAGCTTATTATGTTATCATTATTATTATTATTATAATGCTTAAGTGAGCCTCACAATCTCATCTAACCCCCCCTTTAGTGAAGTTAAATTTAGCAACTAATGATTATGTGTAGTATTTGACCAAAGACTCCAATATAAAATCATCACATTTAAGAGGGTTGAAGCAGCAAATCTTTGTCATTCTTTCTTAAAATTGACAAACAATGATTTGGTTATCAAAATGCTAGCAGGTTAACTTTCTCTCGATCGACAAATTGTTTAATTAACTAATGTTGCAGCTCTACTTTAACACATTCAACACCTAAACATGCTGCTGAGACACTGCTGACTTCAGTTATTCACTTTAGCTGCTAAACAGCAGAATCACATTATATTTCCAAACATGAATGTATTAATGTTCAAAATACATCATCTAAACCTCAGTATTAAATCTTAATAGCTTCACTTGAGCAGTGATCAAACAGACACTGAAACAAAGGTGCATTAAACGTGTAAATTTCCTATAGGCATGTGTTTGTTAGTCTTAATTTTGTAAATGTAGAAAAATGGACATATCTTAGTAAGTAGTTCATGTTATAACAAAGTTTGTAAAGGGGAGACTAACTTGGAGAAGGAAGGAAGGAAGGAAGAAGCTAAGTAGGGACTCATCATGGTCTCTTCCT